GGCGGGCCCGGGTCCGGGGCGCCCTTGCTGGGCTCCCGCCTCTCCGGCCACGGCGAGGTCGCTGGAGTCCGCTGTCCTCTCGGGACGACCGAGGGAGAGCCGCACAGAGAACCCCTGGGGACGTACAGACGCACCGCGGAGGACCCGAGGCCGGAGTTCGGCACACGCCCGGGAGGCGGGCGCGCGGAGCCCCGTGCCGGCGGCGGGCCGCTCCCCTGGGGACCCCGAGCGGGCGCGGGGCGCGCACCTGCGGGTCACAGCCCGCCCCAGCCCTTTCCCCTCCTTCCCGTCTCTCGTCTTCCCACCTGAGTCGGAGGAGAAGAGGACACTTCGGCTTTCAGTCTGGTGCCTGTCGGGGGAATCCAGCCCCCTGCTCGTGGCCCCGCTCCCTCGGGGCCCTCTCCTGTACCCCTCTGTCGAGCCCAGGGGCGGTGGGTACCGAGCGCGGCCCTGCCCGCCAGACCTAGCAGCCCACCCGGAGGGCAGGCGTCCCCTCCCGCAGGTGGTCCTGGCGCGTATTTGCCTGAGGGCCGCGCGTTTATTGCCCTTGATGGAAATCTTTCTTCTGCAGGGGTTTGACTAGTGCTTTACAGAGGGAAAAGTTAAGTCCTGCCTGTTTTGCAAAGTTTCCTCCGACCCCCGGAATCTGCCCTTTAAGGAAGGTTCAGTTCCTGGAGGATTGTTTTTCCATGTTCTGCAGCTGGCTGGGAGCTAATAGGCAGTCATTTCACTTTCTGAACTCGCTTGAACCAGCTTTAGCCTGTGTTTATTTCCATCCGAGTCACAGTTTATTAAATGTGCCTAATTTAACCCAAAGGGCATTTGATACCGGCTCCGGGAAAGCGCTTGGTGAGGCTGAAGGAGTCGCAGGGCACTGCAGCCTCAAGGAGAGCCACCCGCAGTGATTTTTTTTGGCCCCAAGGTGTAGGAGATGGTAGGAGTCTGGGGTGCGGGGGGTTAGGGGGTGTTGGAAGATTAAGTGTCCATTAACTGATGCTTATTTTTGTTCATCTGTATGCTAGAGTTTGAGTTTTGCTTAAATCTTAATTTGTGGCGATTAAGTATCTTGCCATAACTCAGAAATGAATTTGAAGGTGACCCTGGGCTGAGGGTGAGTGTAGTTAAAATGCCATGCAGTTAGGGAAGAATCCTCCCCTTCTATGGGAGGGAGGACCTCTGGTGGCGTAGTGGTTAAAGCGCTCAGCTGGTTACCGTAGGGTTAGTGGTTTGACCCACCAGCCCCTCTGCGGCAGAAAGTTAGGCAGTCCGCTTCCGTAAAAATGTACAGCCTTGGAAACCCTGTGGGGCAGTTCTACTCTGTCCTGTAGGGTCGCGGTGAGTCGGGATCGACTCGCCACCAGCGGGTTTGGTTTTTGGTTTGATGCATGGGATGAACAGTTTCCCCGTCTGCTGCTGAGATGGTAATTTATCTGTGGTATACCTCAGATGCCTTTTAGGATTTTGGAACCGCGTCAAGGGAGGGAGAGTGAGTTGGAGTGAAAGGTGCTATTAAGGCCGTATTGGTTCCTGAGGTCATTTTGGGACCATGGATGAAGAAGTCGTTTTTATGTCACTTCTTGGAAGTTGAAGGCTGGGGTTTTTGCTTCAGTGAAGGCCAGGGCACAGGAGGGGCACGGTGAATATGCGCCTGCTCCCCGTGCCCAGGCTCCAGAAGAGTGAGAATCTGGCCCTGTTCCTTGACTTTTGTGCTTTATTTTTGGTCCTGTCCTCGCTCTGTGGACCGTCTTGCTGCGTGTTGTCTGACCTCACCAGGAGAGTGGCCTTTACTCTCTTCCCCTTTCCATTTGATGTTCTCGTGACTTTTATTCCCTGGCAAATAAGGATGCTAGTCCTGAAACAAGTCACTCTTGAGTGATGGCTCCCTCCCACCCCACCCCACCCCCTTTTTTATTTTATTTAAAGGCAGCAGCCCATGGATTATTAACTTTACATGGTCTGGGCAAACATGACATTATGCAGTCCGCAGGCGAGCAGGCTTCTCCCCTGTCCCTAGATCACCACACGGGCTGGGAGTGTACTCCTCTTTGGTGGCAGGAGGCACGGTGCTGGGGAAATCCAGTTGGCATTGTGCTGGCATGGCTCTGGCTGCTGGACAGAGGCAAGGGACGCCCCCACATGGGCAACTGTCCCCAAAGTGTGCTTGAAGCCCGGCTTTGCCTTGAGAATTGGTTAGACATTGTCAGGGTGTGTGCCAGGCTTGTGTTTTAGAGACGCTCGTTTATTGTGTTGTACAAGGAACAGACTGTACCAGTGACTTTGCTGTTTAAACAGTGAAGTGGGCTCAGCTAATCTGGTCCATAACCCAGGATACACCGAGGGAGGAGGCTGATCGAGATAAAGGCGCTGGCATTTTTTGGGCATCTGTTTCCGTACTGCTCATAATTTAGAGGTCTGAAGTCTCTCCTGCTCACTGGACATTCGCCTTCTCAAGGGTTTTTTTCCCCCCTTGTGAGTGCATTTAAAAAATATGATTTAGAAACAAGTTCCCCTACTCACAAGCTGATACTATTTTTAATATGATGGGGTTTTTGTTGAGAAGTGGAGGAAAAGAATCCTTGGACTTCTCAAGAGCTTCCATTTGGATAAGAAAACGGAATTGAAAGCTTCCTTCTTGTTTTGCGTTTAAGAGATGTTGTATGACTCTTAAAACGGGGCTTATCTGCTGGTTGTGTGGTTTTACAAGGGCTGGGGGGATGTCTCAGCCTGGAAGAGTGAAACACACAGTTGCTGCGTTTTATAGTTTATGGAGCCCTTAGGGTACACATAGCCGTTTTGGCCTGAGGAGTGTCCGATAAGTACACTACTTTCCTAAAACAGGAAAATTGCTCTTTTTCATTCGCCAGACTAGGTTTTCATCGCAAAAGCAAGGTTCGGGACTAGAAACCAAATAGCGACTGAAGGTAGCGCTCCTGCCGCTGGTCCCTTTGTTCCAGAGAGATTTCTGTGGTTCCTGCATGTCCGATAACTTTGCATTGCTATCTCCTCGGTGACTGCATGGAATAAACCTCTTGAGGACAGTTCAGTGAACACAGAATCACAAAGGCTTGGTTGACTCTGTTTTAAAACACCTTAAGAGTATTTGTGATGCGAGGTGTCAAGGACTAAAGCTTCACGCTGAGGCCCTGGCTGTATTGCTGCTGGTACCAGTGGGCTGCAGCCACCTCTGCCTCCGACTTTGTCTTTGTGAGGTGGCTCCCTCTCCCTCTGCTCCTGACCGCTCCTCCCTGTGTATTGCAGTGATGTCCTGGCTCTGCCCATATTCAAGCAGGAGGAACCCCAGCTGTCCCCCGAGAACGAGGCTCGCCTGCCACCCCTGCAGTACGTGTTGTGTGCTTCCACATCCCCAGCCGTGAAGCTGCATGAAGAGACGCTGACCTACCTCAACCAAGGTAGTGGCTGGAACCTGGGGGCTGGGGCCCCTCTACTCCAAAGGAGCAGGGAGTTGGCCTGAGAGACCCATTTGGGCCTCATTACATTTTCACCATGGGCAGGGTGGAGTTTGGGAAGGAATCCCCGGGTGGTGCGAACAGTTAATGCGCTCGGCTGAAGGTTGGTGGTTCAAGTCTACCCAGAGGTGCCTCGGAAGAAAGGCCTGGCAGTCTTTCTGAAAAATCAGCCATTGGAAACCCCGTGGAGCACAGTTCTGCTCTGACACACATGGGGTCTCCGTGAGTCAGAATCTACTCAGCGGCAACTAGTTTTATAGGCTTTGGTGTTAGACTTGGGTTCAGGTTCCATTTCCTAAGAGGACCACTTCCCTGAGCCTCAGGATCTTCATCTGAGAAATTGAGATATCAGCTATGTTGTTTCGTAGGTCGAATGTAGATAATATGTACAGTAAAACGTGCGAAAGCCGGAACTGTGCAAGACGGAAACCTGTCAGAGAAGGGAAGGCAAATATTTTCCACTAATAGAGGGTGATAGAAAAAGGAAGGCTGCACCCTGTCAAAGGCGGAAAACGAGAGACCCCGAAAAACAGAGCCGTTCTGTCGGCTCTCACGGGTATCACTGGATAAATTTCCTCGTATAGGTCCACCAGCGGGAGATATGCAGTAATTGGTAGGTGTTATTACAATTACTATTTACTGTGACCGTGGTGTTCTTCCTAGACACAGATTGGTATGCCAGACCTGCTGCTCTTTCTAGAACTGCACCTGGCTGGTAACACGGAGACCGTGTCCTAAAGGACCACAGGGGCTCTATGCCACACGTGGTAGACAGACGCCCTTGGTGGCGATGGGGCCAAGGCGGCTCACCAGGTCCTGAGAGAAATGGTGTGAGCTTTGGAGTTTGGTTCCAACTTCTTAGTTCTCTGACTTTGAGCTGCTTTTCTTCTCTCTGTGAGCCTCACTGTTTCCACGTGTAAAACGAGAATTATAATGTCATGAAGTTTAAAAGAAAGAACGTGTGTGAAGTCCTGATGCGACAGTGGTTGTTGAGTAGCTCGTTCCCTTTTCCAGAACGCGTGGATCCGTGTCCTGACGGATGGGGTTTTTGTGGTTTTTATAAGAACAACATGACTGTGTTTATTGCCTTTCTCCCTGGGTCAGCTCCTCCACACCTGGCGCAGACTGAGTTCATTGCCCTTGTATACTGAGCAAGGTGCAGAGGAAGCGGGGGCACCAAAGTGCCCGAGAACTGAAGGGGGCTAGCAGTTTGTCTTACATGTGGGGTCTCCTCTCTGCAGAGCTCTCCTGCATTTGGGGAGCCAGCTGCGGGTGGGAGTCCACTCTGATCCTCAGGCTCTCCTCTGGCTGCTGAACTTGCCAGCTGCTGGGCCCAGACGCTCGCTGAGGCCCTAGGTGGCTCCCTGTCTGCCTCTAGGTCGGGACAGCCCTCCCCTGTTGTCGGCCTGACTCAGGTGGAAGGGGATGGCTTATCCCTTTGGGTAGCTCTGTTGGCCTCACAGCTGGATGGGGCCTGGCTCAGCAGAACGTCTCTGTGTATGCTTGCTGTGGAAGGGGTTCTGCCATTTTCCTTTTTCATGGAAGGCCACATGCTACCAACTCACTGTGTACCATTAAGCAGTCTCTTTCCTCTGCTTTCTTGCCTGAAGCATGGAAGTTAGATGATTTTTAGAATCCACTGGGCTCTGATGGGGTTCTTGTCCCTGGCCACATCCCGTGGAGCTAAGGAGTGAGTGGTCCGAGGCCTTGCTGCTGGGCTGTTACATGGCAGCCCCCCTCCCTGCCCACCTTTTTTTAGTCAACCAACTTTGGACAATGGCAGTTATCAGTCAGCATACTAGGTCTTTAAAAAAGAATTTATCTTCTTGCTCAATACAGCTACATTAAAAGAGGGGGAAATGAGTTACCCCAGATCTTACCATCCTGTGTTAATCGGATGTATTCATTTTTAACCATTTTTAAAATCACATTTTCCTGATTATTAAAATAATACACGTTCATTATAGAAAATTTGGGTGATTTACAAAAGCATAAGGAAGAAAATGAAAAGAAAAGAAAATTAAAGTCCCCTCTCATTTCCCTCAAGAACACTGCTGACTTATCTCCTTTCTGCATGTTCGGATCTGTAGCTTTTAAAATCATGATCATGCTGCAGACATCCTGCTTTTTTCATTTACTGTTTTTGTGATCTTTTCTCCATGTTCTTAAAAATGCTTTTAGAACTTAAAATTTTTGTCATGACTGCATAGTATTACATTACAGTTCTGTTACTTTCTTGACCCGTTATATGTTACGGACACGTAGTTTCCCATTGTTAGATGTTAAAGACTGCTGTGAGGAATATCCTTGTACATAAGTCTTTGTGTGAAATGTTGATTTTTTTTTTTAAACATGAATACCTAAAAAGTAGGATTACTGGATTAAAGAGTTTGAACATTTTTAAGGCTTTTGACACATATTACCAAATGACCTTCTCAGCAACATATACTATTTTAAACTCCGGCCGTCAAGTCAGTTCTGACTCATAGCGACCCTGTAGGACACAGTAAAATTGCCCCATATGTTTCACTGTCTTTTTGCCAATTTTCAGTGGTCTTATTTTTCATATGATAATTGAAACATGGAATTTAAGCATTTCTGTGATTGCTAAGGAGCCCTGGTGGTGCAGTGGTTAAGAGCTCACCGCTAACCAAAAGGTCAGCAGTTTGAATCCACCAGTCACTCCCTGGAAACCTTCTGGAGCAGTTCCTATAGGGTTGCTATGAGTTGGAATCAACTCGATGGCAATGGGTTTGGGTTCTTTTTTTTTTTTTTAATGATTGCTCATCTCGAATATTCTAAAATACATTTATAACCATTTTTGTTTCTCTGTTAATTATGTTTATGTTACATTTTTCTATCGAGGTGTTTATTTCTTAGAGTATGCCTTATATTAAGGCCATCAACCTTTTAGCTGTCATTTGTTGCAAATATTTTTCCTTGTTGGTTGCTGGTGTGATAGCTATATTTATGGTGTAGAATATATGTCTTTTTTTATGTTTAGAAGTTTATCCTGATGACCATAGTCAAATCTTTCAGTATTTTAAAATGTTTTTTTCTTCCATGCTGCAAAATACCTGTCCACCCCCAAATCACCTGAGCAGTTTGCTGAACTTTCTTTAATGGTTTCTAAATTTTAACATTCATGTGTGTATGGAATTTCCAGTGTGATAGAAAGATCTACATTTGCTTGGTCTTTTTTCTAAATCGTTAACCTCTTACCTAGTACTTGTTATTGCGTGGTATATATCCTTTCCTCACTGGGTTTAAAATGTCACTCTTAAAACATTTAAAAAACCGTATTCTAAACCGCGAGGCCCGAAGCAGTCCCTTGTATGAATCTCTCTCCTGACCCTTGATAGCCATTGATTGTTGAAACTTCCTTATTGAACTGATTACTGTAGTTTGAAAATATGGGAATAGAAATTCCTTTCCTCGTTCTTAGCCGTTCCCAAATATTTATTTTTGCAGATGAATTTTACAACAACTTAGAATTACTTCTGTACCTTTTTTTTTTAAAAAAAAAAATTCTTGATGAGATCATACTTTTTATACAATTGTTTTCTTGCTTTTATTAAATACTGTTCTTGTAATAACGTTTTTCATTATTAAAACATCTCACGCATTATTTAAAATGTCTGCATATTATCTCTTGAATATTTCTTCTTGTTTAAGACAGAATTATTGCCATAACTGCTGAAAGAAAATATGCAATGTAATGATTTTAGTGTCTTGTCCCTCCCAATAGAATATAAGCCCTATGAGGGCAAGGCCAAGCTTAGCTACCTTTTTACCATTGTATCCCCATGACGGGGGCCTATAAGCATATTTATATATATATATGTATGTATATATACACACACACACATATATATATTTTTGGTACTATTATCTGTAATGTTGTACCAGACATCTTTTTTCAGCATATGTTATAAAAAGTGGTCTATTTTTCTAAGTCCCGTGACAAAGTTTCAGGGGCCCTGGTGACGCAATGGGTAAGCACTTATCTGCTAACTGAAAGATTGGTGGTTCAAACCCACCAGTGGCTCCGCGGGAGAAAAGACCTGGCGATCTGCTCCAGTAGAGATTTACAGCCTAGGAAACCCTTTGGGGCAGTTAAACTCTGTCCTATAGAGTTGTTGAGTTGGAATTGACAGCACCCAGCAACCAATGACAAAGCTTAAGGCACCCTGGTGGCTAAACAGTTAACTGCTCGGCTGTTAACTGAAACGTTGGCTGTTTGAACCCACCCAGTGACTCCGCAGAAGAAGGACCTGGCAATCTGCTTCCATAAAGATTACAGCCAAGAAAACCTCATGGGACAGTTCTACTCTGTCACATGGGGTGGCTGTGGGTCAGAATCAACCTGATGGCACATAGCAACGTGACAGAGCTTACAGGAGTTGATTCTTTTGATTCAAAAAAGTAGTTTTGGCACATCGTTCAAGACCTTGGTGGTGAGTTGAAATATTTGCTCTTAAGTATTTGATATTTATTGCATGACTGATGCTTATTGTGTTATTTTTTGAGGCCATTTACGTCTTCTTCCTTATCTAATGATATGTTTAAAGTTCTCCGTAACATGGAGGGGTGCTGTGTTTTTAAGTCAGAAGGGTCATCGGACCACTGGATGCCCATTTCTTAGTGCAGTGTCAAACAGGTACCTGGACAACACGTGTCACATTCAGTGTCCTGTCACCAAGCCCAATGGTGAATTTTGAACATGGTGAAAATGCCTCAAAAAATAAGGAAAAGGGTTGGCTGCCAACCACCTAAGGGTTGGATAGTCATTGAAAAGAAGTTTTCAGACTTTGAGATAACCTCTGTCAGTGGCCAGAGGTCACTGTGGACCGATCCCTCCTGAGGGCTGGAGCCTGAGGGAAGGAATAGGGTAGGTGGGTGGTGAGGTGGGGTGGAGTCTGGGAAAGCAGAACCCCAGGCAA